GAAGAAGGATTTGGAAAGTCACAGATTTTCAGACAATGTTATTTGATTCTTACTTTGAAATGCTTTCTGTCATTTTAATCTTAGATTTGGGATTTAGCTGATCAAGATGGCAAAGGTATCCTGAACAAACAGGTAAGAGCCTTAATTGAAAGGGAATTTATTTGATAGGTTAAAAAATGTATATATATGAAGCATAAGCAAGATTAACAAACACATGAGGAAAAAAATAAGAGTGGACTATTCTGTAGTTGTTTTTTTCAATAAAAAACTCTGTTTCTAGTTTAAATGTCATCCACAATAAAAACAAAACAAAAAACCCCAAACCCCCACAGGCAAATCAAAATTTGCCTATATTTTGTAAAATCCTGGTTTCTTCAGTTCCTTTCTAGACTGAATGCAACTTTACAGTATAATAAACTGAAAATTGTTGCTATATTTGGAATAATTTAAGAACCTTTTATGAGGCCCATTGACTTGTTTCTGATCCATCTTGAAAAAAATATTTGCAGAACTATACATTTCAGTGTCTTTATTTTTCTATTTAAATTCCTGTCAGCTAATTTTTTCAAATTCCAGATCAGTAAGGTGTTCAGTGTTTTGAAAAAAAGTCTTAATCATTGGATGGCATTGTGTAGCCATTGCTAAGATCAGATGTGCAGTTTATCTTGCATTCCACCAAAATAGCCAAAACTCTGCTTTAAACCATTAAAAAAGGAAGCTGCCTAATCCCATGATGATGGCAATTCTTCCTTTTTCTAGCTACGAAATAATACTAAAAATAACAAAAGGTATATTAAATGCTTCCCAGTTTTTTCCCCCAAATAGGTGCTTGCTTACTTCTGATGCAGTCATATTTAGTTGTCTGCTATGAGAAGACAGTAAAGCTTTATGGTGACTTGAGAAGGGGATAACAAACATATACCCCTTTTTTCCCCTTCTTATGATATAAAATGATCTTAAATGTCCCAAAAATGATGGTGGGTTTTTTGTATTTTACAGTGGAAATAATTATTGATTTCCCCATCTTATCTGGAGAGCTCTAGCTTGAGAAGTTGCAAAGCCCATTCCCTTTCATTTAAAGTGCAGAGCCCACGTATGTGGGAGACCAAGAAATATCTGGAAAGATGACATTTGATTCAATGATAAGTCAAAGGCAAGCAGAAGAGAATTCTTCCTGTTTTACATGCCTGCAATACAGAGAAGCCAAAAAGTGGCATGCCATGTTTTTTTCCTTTGCAAGCCCTCTTTTTCTGAAGACTGCCTCCAAAATGCCCTTTTGTCATTTCACTGGATAAAAACAGAACTTTTTACTTGCTAGTCTGGTAAATATTTTGCTAGACATTTCAGTTTTTTAAGATTTACTAGAATTGCTGCTGCATAGTGCCTTGAATTATCAACTGGTGGTCATTACTTCTAATTTGCTGCTGTAAGTCATTTGAACATTGCTATGGCTTAATAAAGTGTATTAACATAACATATAATTTTAAAAAATAAATCTTTTGTATTAAAATAATAGCAGGTGTGTCAAGGCTAGAAGAACTGAAAGCCAATTTCAAGCTTTTTTCTGAACTTAAATTACTTTAGTATAATAAATCCTTTAAATGTTTTATTTTCCTCCATAGGAATTTTTTGTGGCTTTGCGACTTGTGGCCTGTGCACAGAATGGATTGGATGTTTCCCTGAGTAGTCTTAAATTGCCTGTTCCTCCACCTAGATTTGTAAGATTCTTTAAACAACATCAACTCATTAACTTAAGTACTTTTACAAATGGGTAGGTTTAGTGTTTGCTATGAGCACCTTTATGGAGTAAATCTTAAAGTGATATTTAAAATAAATGAGAAGAAATGAAGGTGATGTGAAACTGAGTACGTTTTGTCTCATTCCACTAGAGGCTTGGGCTAAAATACTGGTTGGGTCACACAAATGTTTAGTCCTAATAATGTCTGTTGCATAGTTGATTTCCTACTTAAACACAAAAAAAGCATACCCAAATTTTGGAATAGCTGTGAAGTTGTAGGCAAGGGTTAAATTTTGCTTAGAGGACTTCATGGGGAAGCTTCCATAGTACTCCTTTAAGCTGCATACAGCCGTGGTGCTATTTTTCCTTGATTTCCATTAGCATTCAGTATCCCCCAGGTTACAGAGTGGCGTTCACACAACTTAAATTGCATAGTGTGACAACCAGATTTTACTGTTTGTTGGTTTGCTTTCTTGGGGTTGTTGGAAATGAAAGTGACTGTAACAGGGTGTGTCCTTTGCTGGTAATAAAGCTGTAGCTATATTTAAGGTTTACAAAGAGTAGAATGAATATGCCGCCTTAAATTTCTTGCCCTACATTATTGGATCTTTTATCAAGGCATAATTAACTAAATTGTGACTGTAGATATGGGCAACAAAATTGCTCAGATGCAAGGAAAGCTGTCTTGCCAAGAAGTTTTTTACATCTAAGTTGGACGTATTTTTGTTCTGTTTTCCATTAGAGTGATACCAGCAGTCCATTGCTGATCAGTGGAACAGCTTCAGCTGATGTCCCTTGGGCTGTCAAGGTAAGCTAAAAGGTGTCAAAGATTGGTATATGGTCTGGACACCATTTTATTTATTTATTAATTCTGTAAAAATAAATAGAAAATCTAAATTTGAACATATGTAATGACTAGTATAGCTTATTTCAAATCCTCAAGTATAATATTACAGATACTAGATTGCTTTCTAAATATGATAATAGCCTTTTGTGTTAGTTGTATTGAGCCATTAAAATTATTCGAAACAAAGTTTTATTTGTGGACTTCATGAACCTCATGCGTCTTGGAATCTGGTTATATATTGCAAATGGGAAAGTTCTTGGTGGAAAACCTATTAGCAAGCTTTTCAATTTAATTGAAAATTGATACACCAAACAATTTTCAGTCTCTTCTGAGTTTTGTTTGATTAACCTTTGCTGGGCTGTTGCATTTAATCTAGAAGTCACTGAGTGAATAAATATCTATTTTTAGTTACTATACAGGTTTATAAGAGACTAACATTTTATAAAGAAGGCTAAGGTTACAAAATTAAATACTCCGAGCAGGAAATGGTGATACAATCTCTCTGTCCCTTTGGGCCTATGCTTTACAATAGGGTGGAATAATATGATCAAGTAAGACTTCTGACTTGCATCCACTGATGCCATGTTTTTAAAAGCCTTGCTTAAAGCCAGTTTAAGTTATTTGAAAGCCTAGTTGATTCCCATAGATTTTGGATCAATCCTTATTTGATTACTTGAGAGGAAGTATTTAAAAACATATGAGATGGTAAATTCCTTGTGACAGGAGCTGTCATATAGCCTTTGAATACTCATTTTTAGAACACCGAGTCTGAAATATCTGCCATTTCTTAGGTTCTGTGCTTTAAGTATTTCCATTAGCAATATTTCTCTCTTTTCTGTTCTCAGTTGGAAGACAAGGCCAAGTATGATGCTATTTTTGACAGTCTGAATCCTGCGAATGGATTATTATCGGGTGAGAAGGTGAAACCTGTACTGCTAAACTCCAAACTACCAGTGGACATACTAGGAAGAGTAAGCCTATCTCTAACTAAATTTAGTAGGCTGTTGGTGTGACTTATGCATTATTACTAACAATAATACTACTAATTACAACTATGTTAATTTATTCAGATTTAAGATTTTTTTTGTTAACAGAAATGGCTACTTAATAATACAATTCAAAATGGCCACATTTTAGTTTTACTGAATAGCATATATGTAAAATATAAGTTTGGTATCATGATCTTATTATTGTCAGTGTTGACTAGTTTTACTAAGAGGTTAGATTATAGATTTGTTTCGAATGGTTTGGATAGGGATGATCCTGCCTCAGGCAGGGAGTTGGACTTGATGACCGTAGAGGTCCCTTCCAGCCCTACTTCTCTGGTTCTAGTGAATAAGCCAAAACTGGCAGTAATACATTTTGTTTCAAAGGTTATGTTTAAAGGTAATCTGTGAAATTAGCATATTAATCTCGCTTTTTAATATGTTGAATCTTTGTTTTTTTTGTCTAATTTAACATTGACTTAGAACATTTATCTTGCTCTTTTCTCTTCAGAAAAGTACCTATCTTGATGAAAACACATATTGCTAATGAAAAAATAGTTCCTTGAATGCATAGAGTCCAAGAAATAATAGAGCAGTGGGGGGAGGGGAGTGTTTTTTTGTTTTGTTTGTTTTAAATCCAAAACAAGATAGGAGATCTTTGTTTCGTTTGTTTGATAGAGTGCATATGAAGGCAGAGGAATAACGATTTATGCAAATATCTATTTATTTTGGTTTTCTTGTAAGGTTTGGGAACTAAGTGATATTGACCATGATGGAATGCTGGATCGAGATGAGTTTGCAGTTGTAAGTACATCGTTCCACTGAGTTTCAGAGTTCTGGCAAGCTGATAAAAGAAAAAAATCTAAAAATGTGAAGCTCTGAATGTTGCTTTTGAACATAAATCTGTTTTGCTATCTTTACTGCTACTCAGTATCTTAGCACAGACTGTGGTATTCATATAAATTCCCTATTAGATTTCATAGCCTGTACTATTTATTGTCTTTCATTGTTCCACCTGCTCTCCCAATTAAAAAAAAGTGGGTTTTTTTGTTGTTGCCAAAATGTGTTGTTAAAGTTTCTAATTATTTTGAGGCACTGAGTTATAGCCATGAATCTAAAGTACTTACAAATGAATTAAAATGGAATTTCTTTTTTCAGAAACAAGATCTTTCTTTTTATTATAGCATAACATAGCATCTGACAAACTACATTGTTGTCTACAAAAGCTTGTGCCTCTCTGAACCAATTAGGCTATAAGGTGCCACCCAACCCTAAGCTGTACTTGATCACGTGAGACTGTTTTTTTAAGGGTTCTTCACATATTCTTTTTTGAAGGCCATCTTGTGCCTGTGGGGGTTTAAGCTAAGCTTCCCTTCGGGTAGAGACATTTTGAGCAAAATTGTTGTTGCCTCTTGTGGAAGGTGTTTTGTCTTGTAACAAATGGTTTTTCTTGTTTGCTTTCTTCTAGTTTTGTTGGCAAAAGTAATTTTATATATATCTTTATATATATTATACCTGTCATCAAACACTCTTTAGAAGCTCTCATTAAACATTAGTGTTTTAACTTTTGTCACTGTATGCTTTTACTTTTTGTAAAGAATGAAGTAACAAATTACCTGAAATAACAAAGTATGGTAGGATCCAGGAGCTTTTAATTTGCTAGTAACTGCAGAACAGGATAAAAAGAAAAGTATAAAAAAGCACCAAACCTTGACTCTTTGTGTTATTTGTTAGCCATCTTTCCCTGTTATAGTGCCCATTTTTGGTTCAGTTCAAGATTTTAGTCTACCATATATAATACATCATCTTAAGTTTGCATAGATCAAAAATGAGATATAAAATGGAGCAGGCATTCAGTGGCTTTAATTTGAGGGTGAAAAAGAAACCAAACATATTTGTATTTTTTCACTGATGTTGTCAAGGGTTGTGTTCTGCAGCTTAGGAGAAAGGAATTATATAAGTAGGGTGGAGAGAAAATTACTTTTCAGTTAAAGCATATAGTTTTAGTGGTATAAGTTAAAAATGTTGGTATGGTAAAACTCATCCCACTGTATAAAATAAGGTCAGTTTTCAGCAAAGAAAATTTAAATGTCTAACTGGCCTTTAATTTGGGTGTCCAGAAATTGTTTAAACTATTATTTCTCTTCAAATATGAGAGCTTTTTCCCACCTCATCAAATTAAAAAGGCTACTAGAAAACACTGCCTTTCTATCTCCTTCAGTAGGTGCTGTTCAAACTCTCATGTACACTTTTAAGTATCAGTACTGAATCTTAAGGGGATAGATATAGGAGTACTTTTCTGGAAGGTAGAGGGGTCCACAAAATACTGCTTTTTTATTGTTCCAGTGAATGCAGCTGCGCTGTTGCATGCTTTAAATTAATCTAATGCCAGCACTTCAAATATTTAATAATTCATGTTAATTTATAGACTTCGTTTTCCTTTTTAAGATGCCAAGATTTAAACCACAGTGATTAAATTACTTGAATAATAGAGTGAAAAATACAACAACTAGGTGGAATTTTTCCTGGGGGACCAATAAATATGAAAAATTGTCAAAATATGTAGACTTGTCCTGGACTTTAAATGTTTGAACCATTTCCTTTTATATGCACAGGTGCAAGTGGCAGTTGTGAGTCAGAAATCGCCAGGGAGGTTGTCCACCAACCAAACAAAGGACAAACTAAAATTTAATTTTAAGAGGCATTAAGTGGAATTCAAAGGAGGATAGATGTTTAAATATGGCAGGTCAAAGAAAAGAAGATAAGCTGCATTTTGAGAGATCTTGGAGAAAATTACCTTTAAAGGGTGTTACCAAATCAGGATTTCTTATCTGTTCTCAAATGCTTGTTTTCAGGGTCATAGAGGACAATTTAGGGCTTGAGATTTTAGGAGAGAAGTGTGCTGTTTTGTCTTTGTGATACTGTCCCTGTACAGTTAAGTGGCAGAACAAATCATGGCTGCACCTTCCTCCTTGATTAACGTTCTGAAGGAGTTTTGTCTTGTGTTTTTAAATACACGTCCAGTAGAAATATTGAAAAAGAAGATTATGCTTGATTATTTTTGTTGAGGTACTCATCTAGTAATGTCTAAGCCTAGGTATAGACATTAATGTGATAAGCGCACAGAAAACGCTCTACACCCATAATCAAATAGACATTTGTGGCACAGAGAGCGTTAAAAATGGCGGACCCCACTGTTAGTTAACCCTGGATGGATGTAGTATCAGACTGAAGTGCTTTAGGTTAGAGTGCTTTATCAAACATCTGTACCAGATCCCAGTGCTATACCAGATTGCACCGTGGCTGGTGCTCATCTCCGAGCAAGCACCAGCCCAGCCCTGCCCTCAAGCTATCAAAGAGATGAAACAAAAAAGGCTCTGTCTCCTCTCTGCATGGCTGGAATATTTGACCCAATCCAATATTTTAATCTTAAAACCACCTTTCCTCTCTTTTAAGTAACCAAGTTGCTACCTTGCATCACTTCTAAAACTGAGGAAAGAAATTAGCTGCTGAATAGCTTATCTGTCTGTGAAGTGATATAGGGACTATAAACATCTGCACAAGTTGTCAAGAGAGGAGAGACATAAAAGGCAAGGTCAAGAAGGCAGGAAAAACTGACAGAACTTTTTTGTGAAACACTAGCTACCTTAAACCTGCACAGGTCATACACTTCTACTGCCTTTTGAAAAAATTATGACTTGTTATAAATGCCTTTAGGACTATATTAGGCCACTTATTGAGTCCATGCTGACAGCTATGCTTTGTTTTCACATTTAGGCCATGTTCTTGGTGTACTGTGCTTTGGAGAAGGAACCAGTGCCAATGTCCTTGCCCGCAGCTTTGGTGCCACCTTCTAAGAGAAAAATTGTCAGTATTCCAGGATCAATGCCATTCATTCCACCTTCAGCATCTGCTAAAGAGTCTCATCAGTCCTTGCCATCTGTAGGCATGTTACCTGGCAAGGCACCCCTCACACAGGTATGGTTTTGGAAATTAATAGAGTAAAGGAGAGAGAGAGAGATTTCATGCAGCTGGGTCTGACGGGTCAGACTACCTCCATTTGGTTTTCTTCCTGTCAGAGTGTTTGTAAAATTGGAGAGGCTGGTAGAGAGCAAGGTTGGGGTTAAGAAAAAATATTCCTTAATTCCAATATATGTACCTGAAGACTTAAACCAAGTAAGAATGATTAAAAATGTATGCTAAGACTATAGCTTTAAGATGCTTGTAGTAAAATTCCTTTCTTTGTAGCATCAGCCATACAAAAAGTCAAAATATTAACACTAAACGTTAAGAGAATGATATGTATTTTAAAAAAATAAACAACAAAATGATAGCCCAAGTATTCATCTATATGAAATTCAACTGCTTCACATTTGTGCAAGTATTGTGCATAAGTTGGGTTTGCAGATGAGTGAAAATGAAGTAGTCAGCAGAGACAACCACTAGAGATGAAGGTCAAGCATGTCCATTACAATGAGGAGCTGGGTCATGTCTTAAAATCCCCCATTGAGAAACCACGGGAGGAAAACCACTGGGAAAAAGCCTTGTCAAGATTATGTTAATTGCAGTTGCTTTTTGCAAAAAGTATCATAATCTGTAGAGGGTTTTTTGGATCATATTTTCTTAAGATATTAAACACTTTCATATATAGAGATTTATATAGTGTATTTTGTTTTCCTTAGTGGGTTGTATCACCTGCAGACAAAATCAAATACGATGAGATTTTCCTGAAAACTGACAACGACATGGACGGCTTTGTCTCTGGTGTGGAAGCTAGAGAGATATTCTTAAAGACAGGACTGCCTTCTGCCTTACTTGCACATATCTGGTAAGGGGTTTTCCCCCTCTAACACCAGTTTTTTGTGGTTTTTTAAGTCTCTAAAATAGTGTTTGTGACAGGTGCAGTAATGACGTTCTTTGAAGTCTTTTGCTCAACCACAACCTTTTTCGTGAGTAGCAGCATTGTACTGCATTTACTGCTTCCTTTGACCAACAGCTTGCCTGTATTTAGTGGTGAGAGTGGTCACTTCTGTGACAATTCACTCTTTGCCTGGGACCTACTTAAATCGCAGTATTGTGATTTTTGGAGAAGCTGCAAAGAATGATGACCTCCATAATGACCATGAAAAATGGCATCAGCTGCAAGTTTCCAGGAAATCGACCAAAAAACCAAATTACCTTAATAAAAATAAAATGCTGACTCTCCAGTGGGAGCCAGTGGTCCTTGGTGTTGCTGTGGCTTGGCCTCGCAGTCTGCCTGGAAGGGGAAAGCACCAGCTGGCAGGGTGGCATGAAGGGCAGCCAGCAGTCAAGATAGTAACCACCCCCTTGTCCTTCCTTCTCCTGCGGCCTCTTCACCAGTTGGTGCTGAGGGGTGAGGCTGCCATGAAATACCCACAGAATCAGCTCTGTGCACTGTAAATGAGCCATGAAAATTGCTTTCTCATGCCATGAGTTGGGTAGGTCTCTACTCTTTGACTTTGTTTCTTAGATGCTTTCAAAGCATCAGTTACAGAAGTAATGCATAGGAATTCCCACTGGATCAGATCTAAGGCCCGTTGAATCTGGAATTTAGTCTTCCACAATAGCTGGTATTACTAGATTCTTCAGAGGATGGTATAAGGACCATGCAAGTAGGCAGCTGTAGAATAATCTGCTCCCAGTATTTGGTCTCTTCCTGGTCTCTGCTGGTCACAGACTAGCTTAAGCTCTGAGGCATGAAGTTGAAAATGCTTTCCCAGTAAAACTTTTGTTACGCTAGTTTATTATGATTCTGTATATTTTTTTTATCCCTATATAAAAGTCTTATTCCTTTCTTCTTTGTGCGAAGGTCCACAGAATGGTTCTCCTGCCTGTTTGCAGCTTGGAGGCAGAGCCAGATGCCAGTCACTGACAGCCAGAGAACTACCTTTCTGCTAAGTTCTGTTCAATTTTCTCCTCCTGCACAGGGGCAGACAGATGCATCCGGCCAGCCTTTCTGCAGAACTTTTCTGAGGGGGAATTCCATTCTCTTGCAAATGTTTAAGCTAACAGTTTGGCCCTCATCGTGTTGCAAGAGTTAACTTTGTCTTGGGGTCAGGGGAGAGGAGAGGAATTGTCTGCTCGTTTCTGCTGCCCTATGAAACGTGCGTACACGCTGGCGGCCTTGAAGACTTCAGAGTGCAGCCTAGCAGATTACTATGGAAAAGATCTGGCTAAAGAGAAGACAGGCTGATCTGTCTAAGCACTCCCCAGGGAATTGCCTCCTTAGAAGAGGGAGGCCAGCAGGGCAGACTGATGTTAGCAAATGGAGCAGAAAAATGAATTTGAAAAATAAACATAAGATGGATGTTACTTCAGGCATGAGTGAGCTGACCACTTTGAGACTATGCTTAGGAGTCTGTAGCTGCCTGAAACAAATTACTTTGCTCACATGCCCTAGGCTGCAACTGTGGATCACTGTGCCCTTATGTCCAGGTTTGATTGCTGCATCTTGCATTTGTCTTTTCTTCCTAGCAGACGGCTATGGAATGAGGGACAGCAGCCTAGAAGGGGAACTACTGGCAGCCAGTAAGAGCATGTACATACAATACAAAGCAACACTGTACTTGCTCTGTCTGGAACCAGCAATTATATAATCCCGTTCGTGAAGGACTCTGCTAATCAACTTTGCTGTCAGGGTGGCTTGTTTCAGCTTAGCCATATAAACATGCCTTGAGAAGCCTCCTTCTCCACCACTCCTTTCTTTATATTCCAGCCTCCAGTTTTTCAGGCCTGCAGGTTCCCCAGGGTGTATCAGTTAAGACTTAACCGGGTATCACTGTTGAATATAGAAGTGGCTGCATCTAGGTTGTCAGAGATTTTGCATATTTAGCTGGGGCAGCTGAATAGTTTGCTGAAAAAAAGGACCTTCTGTTTATCTAGGCTCGTGGCAGGCAAGCACTTCATTTTGGCTCCATCCTTTGGGCATGAAAACTCTTTAGATAGCATCACATGATTAAAAACAAAATCTGAACCATCATTCAATGCTTGAAGTGCCTCTGCATGTGTTTGCAAATAAAAGTAGATGCTGGTGTTGCAAGTTTGTTCTCTTTCAACTTGGAAGTCATAAGACATTCCTGTGGAAAGGGAAGGCAGAAAATGGTATTGAAGTGAGGATATGGGATTTTTGTCCAATTAGAGTATCCAGTCAGTTCTATCTTAATGATGCAATGGGAAACTATGGAAGCTTGAAGCTATTCAAAGGTTTTAGTAGTCAGCTTGCATCCTGTCAGATAAAAAAAAATTCAGAGTGCTTGGCAGGTTGAAGCGCTTTGACAAATGCCAGAAGAAAATGACTCTACCAGTACTAAAAGAATAAGTGCAGTGTCACAGTTTTCTTCTTGTCATAATTGTCCTCTTGTCTCAGAGCTATCTGAGAGTTTCCATCTAGCTGCTATGGAGATAAATTCCTTTTTGTTGCCCCGTACTTTTAATTTGAGAGCAAAAGGGCTAGCTTTGATCAAATGAAAACATTTAGATGTTATCTAGGGGGATTACCCTGAGGGTGTGCACAAGAATTTGGGGAACAATTTATCTCATTTCCCCATTTTGGCAACCCACGGAAAGACCACAATATGAAAGGCCTCTACTTCACTTTGCATGGCAAGCTAGTTATAACACTTCTATTTCCAGCCTCAAATTGGGGACAAGTAGAGCAGCTCCCTACCTGATATATCTAAATAAGTTCTTATTGGAAGTTTGTCTTCAAAGGGATTCTACTAAACAATCCTGATGATGTCTTTTTGATGTTGTAGATGGGTGACAGTAGTTTTCTTATCTGCTATTTGATTCTCACATGTCCTTACAGGATATCTTTAATGCAATGGTAACAATACTGACAGTCTTGAGAGGAAGAAATTTCCCAGGTTGCTCCCTAAGCAGTTTTTCTGATGAGGGATTTATGGAGACACAACTGAAACAAATATGTAGCATAGGAATGCCCTTGGAGTATTTTAAATTAAGGGCAAAAGTGGACACATGGTGCTGAAGAAGTCACCCTGAGTTCAGGTTGTGCATTACTGGGTTCAAGGTCTCCTCTCAGAACATGTTGCCAAATACTGAATTCCAGACTTCATATGTCTGATAGTTAGAAGTCTTCTGAGGTTGATCTAATCTAAATTTATCCAGTTCAATAAACTGTAGCCTGTTTGTAGCCATTTGATCTTGTGTTGTTTTTCAGTCTAAAGCTCTTCTTCTTCCCTAATATTCACACCACATAGGTGTTTTTTTCAAGAGCATTCATATCCTTTTTCAGTCTCTATGTCAAGAGACCGTACAAGGTGCACTCCTTTCATCTTCTTTCATAAGAAAAGGTTTCTCCTGGTCATACAGCACAACACAGGAACCATGAGTTGGTATTTACGGATTGAACTGATGGAGGGAGATGCTGTCATACTTCCTACACATCTAAAGTACTTTTTCTCAGTAACTTCTGTCTTAACTCAGCGAGATTTTGAAATTGGAAGCACTTACTGAGAGCTAGTATTGTACCTCTCCTTAAGACAAAATGGCCCTTTGCAAATTGTACGGAATTAATTTCCGAAGTAAACCCTGTAGACAAGAAATCGTTTCCTGTCCTGGATGAAAAGATCCCAGGTTCAACATAAGAGAATGACTACAAAAGCTGGAAAGTTTTCAGAGTACGTTTTCTTGATAGAGTGTTTGAGATCCTGCTTTTGCTAAACAGAAACCATCCTTTAAAACATAGTGAGTACTTGATTTGCTCCCCACCTCCTTTTTATCTTCACCATTAAACTACGATCCTACTCTGAAGCCACACTGCAAGTAAGAGTCTCCTGGGGATGTCAGGACGAGAGAGAATAGGAAAATGATTCTGGCAGCTTACCTGAAAACCCCTTTTCTTCAGTAGCTGTAGTCCATGGATCTGGCTTATCCTGACGCTAAATGATAACTTGAAGTCAAAATAGAAGTTAACCCCCAAAGTTGTGTGGTGTTATTTTCCATAATGGGGGATACATGTATTCCAAAGCCCTCCGTCCTCTTCCCCAAGGACTGGTTAATACAGTTTTCGAATTGGGAAAGTTGGATGAGATTTTCTAGCCCTAAAGTTTTCTTAACTGGCCAGAACTTCAGGCACAGGGTATTCTATTGCTGTCAGTGACTGATACGCCTCATTCTTTCCCAGAACAGACTGAAGACCCATTGGAAAAATCTGTGGATCTTTTCTATATAAAGAGAAAAGGTTTGGGCGGAATTTCCTGTTGTTTTCTGAGCCTTAGGGTTTTCTTTTATGTGTGTTTCCTATCCTTGTTAAAAAAGATGATGTGCTCTGTGGTGCTGAGGATTCAGGAGTGGTTCTAATCCATTTGAAGATAAACAGTAGTATATGAGTACCAACAGTTGCCCTACTTTTCCATAATCTGCACATACAATCTTAGAACTAGATAGTTCTAAGAGAGATTAACTGAGATGTTACATTTAACATGCATATTATCTTTCTCTCTGTGTTTGTGTATAGGGCCCTTTGTGACACACATGACTGTGGAAAGCTTTCAAAGGAACAGTTTGCTTTGGCTTTCCATTTAATCAATCAGAAGTTAACAAAGGGCATTGATCCTCCTCAGGTTTTGACTCCAGAGATGATTCCTCCATCAGACAGGGTCAGCTTACAGAAGGTAAGAACCTCTTTGACATTTGAACAGAAACCTCAAACATACTAAACTCATGAATTCAAATTGTGGGAGCAGGGGAGGGAACCTTTTAATGGTGTACTAAAACATAGGTGTAGTACAAGGAAGAAAATGAGCTTAATTGCCAGGACAGGTGTATTAGTTGTCCTCTCCTCCCCCAAACTTTTACATGTGTAGAGAGAGAGAGGAGGAACTTGGTACATGCATTTTTAGTTGTCATTTGTTACACAGCCAACCAAGCAGAGAGAACTTATTATAGGGAAAGCATAATACCAGCTTTTTGAATGAATACACTTATTGCTGAGTGTCCAAGGGATTCCAGTACTAAATTTGCTTTCTTTTTCCCTTGGTGTGTAGACATTTTTTTTTAGTGTCACTTCCACATTTCCCTCTTTCAAGAAGTTAAGATTGTTTTCTATTAAAATGAGACCTTTTCAACTCTGTAGTTACTTTTTAAAAATGGAGCATTTTGATATTTTAAATATCATTTTTTTATTCATAGCAATTTTTAGTTGTCTAAAGTATTTAGTAGAGCAGCAATCAAGTCTCAGCCAGATGGTCTCTGTTTAATACTTTTTATAGCTGTCTTGGACTATTACTAAACACCTTTTCTTGGTTGTGCTCAGCACTGACATAGCTGCACTATCTTCATCATAATAGAAGGAGAAATTCTCACCTGAAAAATAAGAAACTCAAAATTTTGCATTACTTTTGAGTTTCTCTAATTGGCACTAATTTACTTTTACATTTTGTTTTTAAAAGAAACTGTTTCGTTTGCAACTTTACTAATCTTTTTTGTATGTTTGCTTTCCTTTCTATGTCTCTTCTAGTTTCGACTGTTTTTTCCATTCTGCACCACTCTGCTTTACATCTTTATTATTCTGTCAGTTTCTTAACTCTGCTTTCTCAAGGTCAGAGATTCTTTGCTTTTCTAATATTTACTATCTGTTGATTTAATAATGAACATCTTTTAAATGTCTTTTAAGTAGTCTTTGAAATAGCACAGCACTTTGATATATTGCACTATGTTGCCATCTGAAACTACTGCTGTGCTTATTGCCTTTCATCTGGAAGAGTCCCAAGGCACTTTTCAAGCATGAACTGACAAACTATATTTAGTTAACTCTGTTTTAAAATGATTGTGTTCCATCCGTCACAGAAATACGGGCATCTCTGGGGTGAACCTTGTTGGCTGTTAAACAGTACGCATTGACACTAGATAAGTTTAGCAGTTCACACATTGTAAATTATTGAAACTGCTAGAAAAATTGGGGTAGACAGGTTAATTACCCAAACTGACAGCTGATGATGTCACTGGTGCTCATATTTTGTGCTCTTATAGAAGCATGGACCATGTACAAATCTGTTGGTCATTACTGCAGCTGAAATCAGCATTATTTTGGCTGCTTTAGTTGTTAGTGCACCACACAGGACATTTTCCCAGTATTCCTAAAATACTGAGATCAGTTGAATCTTCCAGGGAATATGTACGTAAGCAGAAAAAAAGAGACTGAGATTGTTTGGAAGATGGAAAGATAGAAGTTCCGAGTGTTTTGAACTTTATAAAATTCCACTTACTAGATTGCACTGAATTGTCAATGAGTTGAGGTCCTCCAAAGAGATGCCTTGTTGTCAAAAAGAATATTTGGTGTAGACCATTCCTTTACCACTCTTTGGGCATCAGTAGGTGAAGGCTAAGGGTCAAGGACACTAATGGCATTGCCAACAGCTAATGAAAAGGGTTGGACATTGTCACTATTGTCACTTACGCAGTGGGAACCATTTGAATGCATTTTTTTTTCTTTTGATCAACTTGGTCCCCACGATGACATTCTGTAGCAAAAAAGATTAGGCATAATAATATACCATGACTTGCTGGAGAAAGGAGCAGGTTTGCCAATAATCATTCCTGTGATGCTGTTCTACCTTTTACTGACCTGCCTCACAGTTAAATTTATTGAATAATATTTTGTTCATTAGGGGAAGAGTGTAGGTGATATGAAAGACTATTTATTCATCTCTTATATCAGAAGACTCATGTGAATCCCATCGTAAATGCAAACTGGTAGTATAATCTAAGACGCTGCAAATCTTAATCCATGGAAAACCAACACTGAATGAGTTGTTTTTTCATTGCAAGTCTGCACTCAAGTCATGAGTTGCAGGGACCTTGTATGAAAGGATTGAGCTGAATATCTACATTTGGGTGAATGGACTTGGACAATGCCACCAGACGTATTTTGTATGGCTACTCTTACTAGCTTTGTATCTGTTCTTGATCAAAGCATCTTATTAATAGTTTAAGGGAAATGATTATCAAAGTTGTAGAAGGAAGCAACAGAGCTTACAGGGAACTTCCGTTCAAGAGATACTAAAATTAACTCAAGGTTTACTAGACCATGATTGTGTTCCTTTTGCTAGTCATCTACCTCAGGACTTCTGCAAAAACTAAAAGCACTCATTGGATGTAAAATTCTGCTTTACATAAGAGCAAGGAAATACAAAGTTCATGTTGCTGTTCCATCTGTGACTTGTCCAAAATTTGATCTGTTGTTCTCTGGCATTTCTCTTTGGTTTAACTGCATGCAACTGAAAGCATGGCTTAAAGCATCAATAATACGTCATGGTACAAGCTTATCTGACCTTTAAAGGTGAGCAGAAATAACTTTTTAAAAAAGTAATAGTGAAGCTAATAATTTTTTTAATCATTAATAGAAAATTAGCTTAATGTTATTAATGAAATAATGTTTCAAGTAAAGATTAGGTTCTTTGCATGACTAGGCCTCATGTTAGGGTGCTATAATTCCTTTGAAAGAGCTCGTGTTTCTCCTAGAAATGTGTCACAAAAAACTCAGTTTTTGTTCTGGCAGACGACGGAGTTTAACTGTAGTATTTATCTAGAATTTTACCTTTTTTATATTTAATTTTCTTCTTGTTTTTCAAAACTTTTCAAAAAATTGCTGTCTGTTTTTTTAGAGACATCAGTCAAAGTTTTAACTTCATTATCATGACAGCTTTTAACCAGACTTTCTATTCTGTTGCCCAGTAGGACAGGACACGGGTTTTTAGTTCATTGCTGATGCTCAAAATCTATTCATAGTTACTTAAAACTGAAGTGTTTTCTTGACAGTGCTCTTCTGTGATCGATCATGACACCATGATGGTAATATTCCACGGCTTTCAGATGATTTAAAACATTTATACCATTTTAGAAGTGTTAAATCATAACTTTGTCTCAACAAAATCCAAGTTCTGATAGATTCATAAATGTCGCTGTAGTAAACGAGGGGCTAAGCTCTATAAAAACAAACTTGGAGTCGAGCATACTTTATTTTGATCTAGAACCCCATATTTAATCAGTTATCTTTTAATAATGTATAACATAAAATATAAGCTAAAGATGTTTGTTTTTTTTTATCTTGCAGAGCACTCCGGGACCGAGTCCTGTGGCAGATTTTTCTGCAATTAAAGAGCTTGATACTTTAAACAATGAAATAGTTGACCTGCAGAGGTAGGTAAAGGAGAATTACCACAATTTTAATTACAGCCACATGTTGTATTTAGTACTGCTTGAATACAATTTCATAGTTTTAAACCTTAAATATAATACAGTAAACTATTGATATGCGCTGTTGCACTTCTGTGAATTATGACTTTGGTAACTATATTGATTTTGTTTTCTGTTGGTTTTGAACAATGTTAGGTTCATTTAATAGCAATAAAATCCCAAACACCATCCACTGCTCCGTAGAAGAGAGAAAGTAATCTTCCTTTTTCTTTGTGCTGTGTAGTAGAGAGCATAGTTTTCCCTGATAAAATCTGCTTAAATTACCCTCATATCAGTAGTACAGGTAAATTAGTATAGTACCAGGGCACGGTAGTGCAAATGTTAATTAAGATGCTTATTAAAAAACAAAATCTTGCTCTTCACAAAAGGCTTGTGTACAGTTCTCTGTCTTCCTCTAAATCATTTTAATGAAGTTTAGAACAGAGGTTCCCAACCCCCAGGCCGCAAAGGGTTGGCTGCCAGTCCGCGGGAGGGTTGGCTGCTGGGCCAGAAGTCCAGAAGTGGCCGGCATACTGCGGACCAGCAGCCAACCCTTTTTTATGCTCAGTACTGAGTATAGAAAAGGTTTGGCTGCCAGTCTGGAGTATACTGGTCGCTTCCAGTGTGCAGTATGCAGACCCGCTTAAATGGCAAATGAATTGTGGATTTTGCCATGTAACTACTTCCATTTCCATATGTAACAATGGATTCAAGAGGTTCCCAGTAACTCACAAAAGATGCTTTGAAGATGACACCAGTGAAGTAAATACTGCTACATTTCCCACCCCCTCCACACACACATCTTTTTATTAAAGAAGATATTAACTTCCATACACAGTCTTAGAGGCTGTTGAAGGTAAATGGGCCAGAGTAATAACTGAAAACTTGTTCTTGGGCTCAACTCTCTAGGCTAAATGGAGCAATAAAAGAAGGGATGTAAAGTGAGCCACTACTTAGGAGCACTGGGAATATATCAGCACAAGATGAGTACTAGCTCAGGAAAGGCTTTTTATTTGAACTTTTTAAGAAGATGAAAGGCTTCCATTTTTTTTATAGCACAGCTGTATAAAGCTTTTTAAGTAACTGAGTAAATATTAACCTTGTGCTGAAAAATTCTAGCTGCTAAATACATGGAGTCAAGATGGATACATCATTGTGAAATGTATAATCAAAGCAGAATAGATAAGCAATAGGATTTTAAAATGTTCCTTAAAATGTTTACTACCTGCATTTTACAATGTGTTTTTATCCTTTACTTAATGAGAAGTATATTGTACAACAGCTGAAAAGGTATAAATATTGCATGTTTCCATTTATTTGGTTGGATTTGTGTGGTGTTGTCTTGCCTCTTGAAAGATCTTTTTTTTTTAAACTTATTGAGAACAGTGTAAAAGCTACTTGGCTTTCTTTGACTAGAAGAAAATAGTTTACAGGATGCCTACAGTTGATGATCTGAGTGAATCTGGATCCTCTTTACCCATGAGCACCAGCACTTTGGCAGTGGTTCTCAACCTCCTCACTTCTTTGAATGTGGCAGCATCCTCTGCTGAGAAGGCCTCATCTTACCGCAAGACAAGAAAGAACGTTGCTGTTCAGCCACACCATAGAGCAGTGGTTCTCAAGCAGAGTGCCATGAGACCCCCCACCTTCAGAAGTGCTGTGACAGGTGCTGTGTCACTGCAGCAGCTGGGTAAAAAGCTCCAGGGTGCAGCACACATGCGCTCTGCTGCCACATTAGCATATTCTGATAACCCTACAGCAGGTAAGAGAGTTGGTTCATGCTGCAGCCTGTCCTAGTCTGCCTCTCCTTCCCTCCACACTCTTCCCAGATACAGAAATGTGCGGGACAGTTGGAACTGTCCCACAGTCCTCTTTCTGGCAGATGCCATGCGGGGCCAGACCAGGAAGGGCTGCAGCATTAGCTGGCCCTTCTGCCTGCTTTAAAGTCATCGAGATAGTCAAGTGCGCATGTATGCATAAGGCGCACGGGGCACTTTTATCTGACAATGGCAGCACCTGCTTGAGAACCACGGAGGTAAGATGAGGCAGAACAACAGTGCTTCTCACCACTGGTTTTGCAGGATCAGTGCTTGGGAATGCCGGACCGATGTTCTGACAGCAAAACTCTTGTTCTCTGTGGCAAAGTGAACAAGCTGTCATTTAGTACAAGTCTATCATATTCTTTTTAAAGCACGCTTAGTGCTATTACACTTTTCAAACTCTATAAAACTTGTGTGAACCTTAATTAAACCTCCCCATTATGTTTTGGGGCTGAGAGAAGAAGCCAAAAGGGCTTAACATGCTGTTTCTTTTATATGAAAGCTGGGAGCAGAAAAATGAATGTGGGGGTAAGCATGAACGATGGATGCCCCTGGAGGCTGGGGGGGCACAGCAACTGCCTGCAGCCATCAGCAGTGGTGATGGTGGTGTGGCAGCAGCAGCAAGCAGGGAGCTTCCACAGGCAGCTGTGGTGGGGGCAGGCCAAGTGGGGAGCTCCCACAGGTGGCTGCAGCAGTGCAAGCGGTGGGGGGGCTGGGGTGGAGTGGTGAGTACTGAGTGGTGGTTGGCAGTGGCCAGTGACAATTGGCAACTGCCCGCGGGCACCGCCGGCAGTGTTGACGGCACTTCTCTCAGGGGGTACACTGCCAATCTCAGGGGGTGCATGTGTACCCGCATGCACCTGTTACGCGTTGCCAGTGGGGGCAAGGATTTGTACAACAGCAGAGCTGTAGCAACTGTTAAGGTCAAAATATCTCAGTGAAACACAGCTGTGTATCCTGCAGACATTTGTATTCTTACTCTCCGTTCTCCATCATTAATAGTAAAACATTACAGGGAGCTCATCTTCCATTTCTACTGGTAGTATTTTATTAGTAGTATTCTTGAAAATGGGGGTCTGTGAAAATCAAATTCACTGTGACCTCTGTAAGTACAGTACCTTTCCTGGCATTTGAACACTAGAGTTTCTGGAGCCTGGCTCTCTGCTCAAGATATAACCATGATGCATGAAAGATAGAAGTATATACTGGCAACCCCCGCTTAGTACTCTTAATTGGTTCCCCAAAAACCGAGCATCAAGCAAAGCAAGTGTTAAGCAAAACTGAAAGTATTTGACAACGCAAGATGGCGACCGCAGTTGTTTTCAATGACTCAAGATGGCATCCACGATTGTTATAGCGAAACTCACTGAGTGCTATGTGAAATCAGGTATCAATTTAAAATGAGTGTTGTAGTGAAATAGCGCAAAGTGAAGCAGCGTTAAGTGGGGGTTGCCTGTATTTCTTCATTCTGTAGTTGGAAAGGAGCAGAATTACACAACCTTATATTATGGTAATAATGCAATACTTTTTGTTCTCTCTGGAAGTAGGGAGAATACTAAATAGCTTTTGCACTGTTGTATCTGTAGAACTGGATGATTTGCAACCAAGAATATGAAGTAAATGGGTACTCTAATCTTTCTGATGTTCTAGAAGACTGGAACAAAAAATAATTTTGCCAATATTTAGGGAGGTTCTGATAGTGAACAGTAGGGTTGGTCTACATTAATTCCCAGGAAAAATTGTGGGACTACTTATAAGTGACATAGTCATTAAAGAATTAGAAGAATTGGTGCCAGACAACATGGTTCTGTAGAAACAGATCGTGATACAGCTTTTTTTTTTTTTAATGAGATTACAAGTTTGATAAAGATAATTGATGTTGTTTCCTATCTTGTGAGTTGTTCAGTCATTTATTGTAAGTTGTCCTGAACGTTGTTGGGGAGGGTGCATGTAAAAACCTAATGCATAAATAAATAATTGTGTTAATATATTGTACTTGGAATTATCAGGCGTTTCAGTTAATCAGCATGTTATGCTGGTTTGAAAAGACCAAGTCTATACATCTAGGAATATAGGTCATATGTTAAAGATCAGATCCATGTGTGTGTACCCTGACTTTGGATTACCAGTTGCATGTGAGCTTTTAATATAATGCTATTGGTAAATTGATACATATGGGGATAGCAAAAGAAGTAGGAAGGTATTATTACCCTTGTATACTTCAGTGATGACTGTATTTAATGGAATACCACTCCAATTTTGCTATCCATGCATCCAGTTGACGAAAAACTGGAAAAGGTTCATAAAAGAACTACAAGAATTAATTGAATGTCTTGAAAATATTCCTTGCTTGGGAGACTAAGGAGTTTCAGTCTAGATTATTGAAGAGAGCAACTTGCTCGTGGTCTGCAAGTAGGTACATGGGGAAGAGATTTTTAGAAGTAGGTAGTTGTCTAATCTATCCAAAAAGACGTGACAAGATCCTTTAGTTGAAGATAAAACTACACCCAGTCACATTAGAAATAGATGCTGATTTTTAGCAGTGAGAGTAATTCACTGTTGGAATAATGTGCATTGGAAAAAGATGGAATCTGATGTTTGTGCACTTTAAATGCATTTCATTTAGTTTAGTATGGTGATCTCATGATATGATTTTTCTATACATGTTCAAGTAAACAAGATTTTTTTTTATAACTAATTTTAAGAATTGGTAAAAAAAAATTCTTACGTAGACAAGGGCAGAGTATTTCACATAGTACAGAGGTTTGAACTCCTGTTATTTTATCCTATAAATCAGTTCTTTACTTGTGTTGAAATTTTTTTTCTAAAACAGCTGAGTATATCTGAAAATTTCCAACCAAGAATTGTAAAAGCAATGGAGACATTCCTAATATCTAATAAGGAGGTCTCACAATCTTCCTCCTCTTTGTTCTTCTCCTCCTCCTCACCCCTCCTTGGAGAATGAATCTCTGTACAACTTACCCTTCTGAGAAAAGCCAGCCCCTGGCCCTCTGGACCCAGAAACTGTGTGCTGCTTGGGCTGGCCAGCCAAGTAGGGAGCAGAACACTCCCCTTTCTTAATCCCACATAGTCTGTGTCCCCCTGCAGCACAGACTCTGAGCAATCTATATCAGCCAATCAGGGCAGCCCTGTGCACTGTTGCTGTCTATCTCCAGGCAGACTGAGGGTATCTGCAGAGCACGTTTTAATGTGTGCAGAGGGACTCAGCATTCAAATGTCTGTTCAGGCACTTCCAGGTAAGTTTTTTTTTTTACCAGGAGAATAAATCCAAGAGAATTCTCCAAGTTATTTCAAGGTGTGTACACAGTCTTAGGCAACTTAAGTTATGGCTGGCTGTTGCCGCCTTGTAGTCAGCGCAGCCTTATGGTTGGCTATGTTTATAGTCAGCTGTGTACCTGAGCCAAGGTCACTAAAGATATTCATGTGCCTAACTTCCATTTGAAATCAAGGGGTGTTTATACTTGTGTTCCCAGGGCTGGAGGGGGTAGGGAAGTGTTTTAATTAGAGCGGCCCCTAATTAAAGCACCAGGAGCATCACATGTATCAGCATCCCCAAGCTGAAAAATGGCAGTGGGGACACTTTTTAACTAAAGCTCGTCAAATGAGCTTTAGTTAAAGTGCTCCCGCCGCCATTTTACAGCGTGGGGATGCTGATACGCATGATGCTGGAGTCTGCTGGAGCACAGTAATTAACACGCTCCAGTAGACGTGATTAATTACAGTGCGTTGGAGCAGTCTTTCTGCATGTGTATAGGTGCCTAATGAGTAGGGACCTGCGAAATATACGATTTCTGTGAAATCCATGAAATCATGCAATTGGCAGTCTGCTGTGAAAAATAGCTGGTTCCACGTGAAAAAGAACTGGCTATGTTCAAAAAGCTGGCAAAGAGCCGGCAAAAAGCTGTCTCCTAGAAGGGCAGGGGGAGCTCTGTCTCCAGAAGGGGGAAGGAGGGGGGAGCAGGGAAAAGCCTGCCAAAAGTCCCCTTCTCCTGAGTTTGTTTACTTAGTAATCATTGCCCTCTGCTCCTTTAAGAGAGTGATAATTACTGAATTAACAAGCTAGGCAGCTCCAGCTAGGGCTGTTAATCAGTGCCTGGGAGGGGTGGGACTTGCGGCGCCCCTCAGCCAATTAGAGGTATGGGGGAGGGGTCACTTCGCTCTAACTTCAGAATGGAGGGCCCGGCTGTACCACGGCCATGAAATTGGGGGCCCCGGCCATGTTACAGCCGTATAATTGGCTTCTGGGGCCCGCGAATTTGGTAGGTCCCTACTAACGAGATTTAAGCACCTATTTCAAGATGTGGGACCAAACCTCTCAAGATTCACAAGTGACAGTAGTATAGAGAGGATCTGTATGGAAGCCTACAGTTTCTTCTAGTCTTTCATATCTTAGCGGGTGGGGGTAAAGCAGACACTAGTTGACTAGTGTTACATTATTTTATTCTTTACTGTCCAAATAATAATGAAATGACCTAAGTATTTACTGTACTTGATGGGCTTCTGAAGGCTTGGGGTATTTTTTAGTCTGGCTTACTTCATAGTACCAGTGAATATGTAATATGAAGAGTCCACAACTTCATTTAAGAACAATTAAGGAAGAAAAGGGTGATTCAGTAGAATTTGTGGGCTCTTCCATAAATTCCATTTACATTTTATGTAATATAAATAATGCCCTGAAATTATGAGTAGGCAACAAATATAAATTCCCTGAGTTATGGGAGAAAATGTGCCTTAATAGTGATGAGATTGATTTAAAGTTCCATGATGTCACTCTTCATTTAATTAATTATTAGCAAGCAGCCTCTAAGGTGCTCACTCAGCAGAATATAATAGGTTTTATTAATATTTAATTTTTCTCTCAGCTAAATCTTCAGTTCAGACATAACAGCAAATTGCACGTTAATTAAATGTTGTGAGAATTAACAATGCAAAATTTTAATATGCAGTCATCTTTAAAAAGTAAAAGGCTCACTTAGAAATGTTGACTTTTGTTTTCCTGATACACGACCTACGGTGAAACCAGTAGCATTAGTGATTCAACAGCATTGTTCAACTGTGATAATTGAAAAATGTTAGGCCAGAGCATCTTTACTGAAGGAGCAAGAGCATTTTATACAGGCAACCCCTGCTTAACACAGTTTTGCTTAGCGCAATTTTGCTATAGCGCTTATTTTAAATACGTACCTCATTCCACTTAGCGTTCAGCGAGTTTTGCTATAGTGCTGAGAGGGTGGGCGGGCAGGGAGAAGCAGTGACGAGAAGCAGCGAGTGGGCACGCGGATGTGAGTATGGGGCCCATGCTGGTGCCCCGGGGCCAGGGCCGGCAGGGCCCCAGGGCAGGGCGGCATGAGTGTGGGGCCAGGGCTGGTACATCGTGCTGGAGCAGGTAGCCGGCCAGCGCGCAGGCAGT